AAAAAAAAAAAATATTTTCAAAGTGTATTCAGGGAAGGAAATATGGGATATAAAAATATCATGATTGAACTGTAATCCGCCAAACAAATGAAATTTTGTTTTCCTGCTAATTTAAACTTCAAACTTCACCGGCATAATCGAACAATCGATCGAGTCGTAGATCAATCGTTGCCTCCCCTGTGTAATTGCATTCGTGTGCACGATGACACTCGACCGTCAGATCTCACGGATCACCGTGCGTATTGCATTTAAATAGAATTTTTGATACCCCGCTACAACGCCTCGTCGCGTAACGAGAATCGAAGCATCGTGCCGACATCGTGTAGAATCGAAGGTAGACACGACTGATCAAAATCGGCCGAAAATTAAAAATATCGCGTTAATGAGCGCGAATCACCGATATGTTTATCTCGTTAATCGACCTAATATTGGCGAGATTGGTGAGAGCGAAAATACGAAAATAAAAATGGTAAACATGGCGACAGGCGAGACAATGGATTCGATTTACATCGGTCGAGATAATTGAAAAAGAAAGAAAGAAAGAAAGAAAGAAAGAAAAGGAAGGAAGGCCAAAGAGAAAGAGAGAGAAAGACATTCGAAAAGCAGACAGCTATACGATCTAAATAGCATTCTTTTGCGTAACTTTTGCAATGGCAACGAATTAAACGGCATGATTACAACACTAACGTCGTATATACGGTAGCGTTTCGATAATTAAACAGCTCAACGGACACCAATATCGCGTGAAAAGAGAAACGATGCTCGAAATTCACGGAATGCTATAAAGTTTCATTAAAGCTGAAAGTTTCGATTCGACATTCCTTCCTTTGTACGTCCCCCGATTCCCTAAGCTTTTGCATTTTTGCAACTCGCGCAGACGGAATAATTCAAAATTGTTCGCCCGTAACCATACGAGCTATGCACTCGTAAATGGACTTAGAAATTTTCCACACGTGGCTAAAAGTGTAATATTCGCTTGTGAAACACTTGCCTTCTTCTCCCTACGATTCTCTCTATACGTCACTTCTCTATACGTGTTGTTATCGTTTCTTTTGTCAAAGAAAAAAAAAGTACGCGAAAAGCAGTTCGATCAAAAACGTTTAAACAACAATTTAAATACGACATCGAAAAAAAAAATTACAAAAATTTTGCAATTAATTTCGTTTCTATCAGAAAAAAGAAAATGATTCGTATTATCGCGAAACAACTAAAACATAATAAAACGAAAGAAATATCCGTTGAATTCGTCGTCACGATTTTCTAAAATTTAGAATCAACGCTTCGAGAAATAATTTCCATTCCAAATGGTCTCTATATCATCTTATCCAGAAAGCAGAAACGTCGTTACGCCACGCGAAGACACCGTCACGATGTCGTACATCCCCCTCCCTCTCCAATATTTTATTTCGATAGGTCGCCATCGTGCACGCGCGATACGTGGGTGCGAGCATGTAGACGGGATCGAGCATCGCGTTGAATGAAATGATACGTAAAATGGCGCTTACACAGGCTGAATCCGGAATCCTTCACGTGGATGACCACCATCGGCATCAGTACCATCACGATGAGGTTTACGATGTGGAACACCATTCCTGGCCCGTGAGCTATGATATCCTGCGGCACAAAATAGAGAGGTACAAGTTACGAGCGGAAGTCGGTTGCAGGGAGCGCGTGGCACATGAAACCAGGGTAGGAAAGGGGAAGAGGTGGAGGACAGGCACTAAAGCGGGGGAGGAAGGAGGGGGCGGGGTGTGCTTGAACGCGGCATCCTCGTCCTCGGCGGCGCGGAGGGGGGTGATGGTGACCGGAGAACGTTCAGCTTCTCAAAATACGAAAGCTGAAACGCAGTCCGTTGAACTACCGAAAGTCGTTTATTATCCATGCAGAGGCTCCGTATCCGGCCACGTCTGTTGCAAAATCCACTGCCAAGCGGAACGATCTCGCTTGTCCTGCAAGAACTTGGTTATTTAAATATCGCGTTGCGATACGGCCTAGGATCCACGAATTAAAGGGGACGTTTGCTCCACGTTTGTCTTGCGTCACGCTAATACGTCACGTGTTAGATCGATTTCTATCTATCGATCGAATTTGTCGTCCCTTCGATTCGATTTATCTTTCGTTTTCTTTTCTTTTTTTTTTTGTCATGCCGTGAAAAAATTGACAATAATTAAATCGACAAAAAGAAAAAAATATTATACGTTATTGTTGCCGGACGAGCATTTCGAATTATTCGACCACCGTTGTACGCGGATTATTCTCCATTCGACTAGTAGTAAATCGTAACGAGATATCACTTATTCAACTCATGCAGCGCGATAAAAAATGAAATGACAGCCGGGCCCAGGGTTAATTATTTAAACTCATCGTCCCTCCCCTTCCCAATTTTAATACGCGCCTACTACTACGCGGGATTACGCGTTCACACAAAATATACAGCGGTAAAAACGAAACCGTGCCAGTGATGAAACATTTTCATCTGATATAAAATATTCCGCGGCACGCTTCCGCGTTATATTTTCCGTTGTCAGCCTTAGCGCCGTTCGCTCAGCGCCGTTGAACCCGCTCTCGAAAGGAAGATTGTGAAAAAAAAAGAAAAAAAAAAGGAAAAGGGGAAAATAGAAAAAAGAGAGAAAATAAAAACAACCATTCATTACATTCATCCCCCCTCCCCCATTATTTATACGCAGCGAAACTTTATTTAAGCAAGTAAGACAATGACAAGAATTTTCCACGAATGTTGCCACTTTCGAAAGAGACGAAAGATTCTCGATCGTCCGATTTCTTCGAGATGAATCTTCTAGCTCCGTCGTCTACTTACGAGTTTGCATCGATCCTTCGAGTTTTATGAAACCTTGCATCCAATTGGATCCAAACTGAAAGGGTATTTGTCCGCAACTAAAGCAACGGCAACCGGGTATGTCGAGGCAAATATTTACGAAGCGCTTGACCCAATTACGGTGGGACAAAAGAATACCATGAATTTGAAGCGAGGTCCGGCAAATTGCACAACTGAAACATTCACGCGGGTGCAACGGGAACACGAAAATCCCCTCTTCCTCGTTCGTCTTCGCCGGGTGCAAAGAGAGAGAACGAGGGGATTGAACGAGGCAAGCATAATAATTGGCCACGCGAGGAGCGACGAAGAGAGAGAACCCCTCCTCTCTTGTCCCTTTGATTGCGATCACGGGACGATCACGGGGTGATAGAAAGGTATTAACAGGAAATGGAATTCCGGCTGATCGAATTAACAGGACATGTTAATCGAGACAAATGGATCTATCGAGATAATCAGCCGAGGTAAAAGCCATGCTAATACTCGCCCCGTAAAACCGTGACATTACTTACGACGCGTCCGCCACTCTCGACGTTAATAAAATGCGGCCATTTGCATTTTAATTAGTAGCACGCTTCGATCTTTCGTGTTATTTTTTTTCCCATCTCTCTCCCCTCCCTCTCTCTCTCCCCTTCTTTCTTTTCTTTTTTTAATCTATTCTCCTTCTTCTTCCCTATTCCCTATTTTTTTATCCCCTTTCCATATTTCCTTTTGTTTTCATATCGTATCCTTCTCCCTCATATATGTATATATATAATATATATATATATTATGCGCGATACGTTTCACAAGCTTGATAGAGAGACTGATCCCTGGAAAATTGATAGGAGGGCGTAGGACAGGGTTGAAAATTGCACCGCCTGGCTCCCTGTTAGTTTTGGGGATTAATTTGTCATGTATTATTCATACACACAGGGTGATTATTCGTATCGTCAAATTATTCATACTATGTTGTTCCCGTGCGATCGTCATTAGTCAAATTATTACTCGATTAGCGGCCGACGATTAATCAGGCTATGGTAATTATCAAGTTCAGCAAGGTGGCCATTGCTACATTGGTACTGGTTCGACCCAGCCAGGAAATTAGCTCCCAGAAGAATGTAATTTCGCCCGTTGACTCGGCGCGATATACCAATTACACGTTAAAATGTATCGTTTCCAAACCAATCGTACGTATGTTCGACAAAATTTAATTAAACTATACGCGTATCTCATATAAAACGTAAATTTAATCGTTGGAGAGGAAGGCGAGAGGTGGGAACGATTGCGGGAAACAACTTTTGACCGTGTTTCCCCGTGTAAACCCGCGATTGTCTCCATGATAATCGTATAACAACCGGTAATATTCGGTTTGCAATTTGTTAACGTATCGCAAATACGCAAGATTATTTAATTGTTAATGAAACTCACCCGATATAAAGTTGTCGAATAACAGGAATCGAGATGTTGAACGCAGATATGGAAATGTATAACGAGATATTAAACTTGGACACGCGAAAATACATTGTAATTAGCGACACAGAGCGACGACGCGACCGCTCGAAGCGAAATCCGAATGACGACTGATTTTAAAACTGGTTTAAGCTAGAAAGGTTACGGAGAAATATTGGGAATTGCGTCGAAGGTTAATACCGATAATACAAATTCGTAAACACACATTCGTTTACATCGAACGCACCGTTCTGTTTTCACTTTATAATATATATTGTAGATATTATTTGATAGATTATTTAATTATCGCGCTATTTATAATACATAATACGCAATATTATATATTGATACATAATATATGAGTATATAAAAATATGAAATTTTATATACTTTTTATATATCCAGTTTTGTGAATATATAAAGAATATTTCTTTCCAATAATATTTAATTGTATTTTTTCGTACGACACCGATACTATTTTTTATCAATGTTTTTTAGAAGAAAAAAAATTTTTATATATCTATAAAATTCGTACAAAACCGATACAAATTTATTAAATTTAATCTATTTAAAATAATTTTATAAATTCTTTTTTTCTGCATTTAAATCCTATTCCATGTATCATTAGTAATTTAAATAATCCTTTCACGTACAAGATCCAGGAACATATCGAGGGATATATTATATATGCACCGAATATTGTACGTATATACATTCAATATCGCTAAATTTCAGCTACCAAATATCCGTATAATTGAGGCGGTAAATCAATTACTCGGCGCAAATTTAACCAAATTTTTTCCTCCCTTCTCCCAACAATGAAGCCTAACGACGAGCCAGGTGAACCGAGGGTCAGTTTTTCGAAATTCGTGGAAAATTTAGATTCACGAGGACAGATTGCTCCTTCACGTTGATCGATGCACACACGATGCGGTCCCCGTGCGGAGGACTTGGCAATGTTTACGCTAACACGATGGCAGACGTGTATTTGCGTCATCGCCAAGGGGAATATACGATATAAGGTATATAGACGTTATCCAGAGCATCGCTAATTCGCCTCGACACGGGTAAGAGAGAGAGAGAGAGAGAGAGAGAGAGGAAGAGAGGAGAGGATGGAAGTCACGCTTTGCAACGTTACGCTAGGCCGATCATCGAAACCACGATGAGCGTATCAATGGCTGGTTTGATCATCTTTATGACTTCGCGATAAGAGAACGGATTTCGTGTTAAAC